GTATTCCCCTAGTGCTGGAGTTTGCCATTCTCATTGATCGGTAAACTTGGTCTTGGCTGTCTGTGCTTGCTGTGATCTTCTGGGGGAGGGGCCTGTCGCAGTGAGTCTCAAATGTCTTTGCTGGAGGTGGAGTTGCCCCGCCCCTGTAGGGGGCCTGGCTAAGTAATCTGCTCGGGTTTGCTCTCGGGAGCTTTTGTTCCCTGCAAGCTTTCGGTACAGCTTTGGAGGACGAGAGTGAAAATGGCAGCCTCCCAATCTCCGCCCCAGAGGAGCCGAGAACTCGGGGCCCCAGTGCTCATTGAGCCCCCAGAGAAAAGCCGTCAGTCACTCCCGTCTCCCCAGTCTCCGGCTGCACTCAGCACTCACTCGGCCTGTGACCGAGCGTTTCTATCTCTGGCACCTGACCCCGTGTGGAGTCTCCAAACCCAGCAGATCCCTGCGGTGTGTTCCTGTGCCGCTCCTCCTGAGGGAGGAAGGGAAGTCTCCCCGGATCTGCCGCTTGTTGGGTCACTGCTGGAAGAGTAGTGGTCCCACTGTGCCGCGGATCACAGTTTATGGCAACCCCAAGCTGAGAGCCCACTCCTCGGCTCCGTCTCTGCAGCTGGCTTCTCTGCTCCGATACCTGGGAGCTCTGCCACACTCAGGCACCCCTGGTCTTCCTGTGACCCCGAGGGTCCTGAGACCACACTGTCCCGGAGGGTTCCACCCCCCGCTTAGCCACCGGAGTGACGTCCCTTGGCAGAGCCGACTTTTAAAAGTTCCGATTTTGTGCTGTGCTCCTCTATCACTTGCCAGTAGTGGCCGACGGAGGCCCCCTCCCCCGCCGTCTATCCTCCCGAATATCACCTCGGATTCACTTCTCCACACGTCCTACCTTCCAGAAAGTGGTCGCTTTTCTGTTCAGAGAATTGCTGCTATTCTTTTCTTCGAGCTCCTGTTGAGTTCGTAGGTGTTCAGAATGGTTTGATCCCTATCTAGCTGAATTCCTGGGACCAGAAGAAATTAAGGTCCCCTACTCCTCCGTCTTCTTGCTCCTCCACTTGGTTTCTCACTTCTTTTTTGATAATTGCCTCACAGGAGAGAATAATTGAGCGTTTGAAAGAACAGCGGGAAAGAGATGATCGGGAAAGACTAGAAGAGATAGAATCTTTCCGAAAAGAGAACAAAGATCTGAAAGAGAAGGTCAATGCTTTACAAGCTGAACTGACTGAAAAAGAGGTGAGTCTGGAAAAACAAATGAACCATGCTGATAGTCCTATTCATAGGAGCCTCAAGATACTAGAGAGTGAGTTTGAGGGGCTGTGTGAAGGCTTTGGGGACATAGTTACCTTTCCTTGGCAACCTGTCTGAGTTCAAAGGAAAATGTTTACTGTAACTCCCTTCATCAGGTTGTCCTATGCCCTCGTCTCTACTCTAACTGCATACAATGTAGCTCCTTGAAAGTTTTCTAGATGTCTTACCACATTTTTGTGGCTTAGAGGATTCTGTATTTTTTAAATGTCCCATGATCTTTTGCTTGGGATAACAACAATATCAATAGTAATAACATCTCCCCTAATTGAGCGCCTGTTATATGCCAGTCCTTTTGTTGGTTTCTTTACATTCATTTGTGTTGCTCAACTGGATCATGGAATACTTCCAGGTTAGGGGATACGGTACCATGCTTTACACAAAGTATAGGTTAAATGTGGCTCTTCTTCTGGAATATTGATTTTACATTATGGTAAATAATTTAAAACAGTATTTTCATGCTAGAGAAATCATGGATGCAGAATACAAATCCTACCTGCATTTTTTAAGTAAAACAATATACTTTAAAGAAATTTTTTGCTTGGGGGTTATGGAGAGAATGGGTTGGGCTATACTCCCCACACTCTGAGGGATACCTATAACTCCTTTAGTTTGCTTAGGAATACATTGTTGGAGAAGTTTGAAAAGCAACATTACATGTTATTTTGTTCAGGCTCCAAAACTCTGAGATGTGTGCCGTTGTCCACAACTGGCCCGTTCATACTTATTTTTGTCCACAGGAAACACCCAACTCCTTTAGGGCTGTTACAGATTCTTTCCTCCTACTGGGCTATATCACTGCATAGTTGTCGATTTTTCAGCCCCAGATTATTACCTCTGCCCTTGGGTTTTGGTAATTCTATACAAATTAAAGTACTGTCTAAACGAGGAATGCAAGAATGAGAGAATTGATGAGTTATAGAAACAAAATGCATATTCCCTAAAATGTAAGCACACTAGTATTTTTGTTTTGTTTTGTTTTATAGAGGAGATTATTTCTTTGATATGAAAATAAAGAATGTAAATTCTCTTCCTATTGTTTCACTGCTAAATCTGACTTGGGGCATCTGTAATTACTGTAGTTGGTATGTGACAGAAGGCATGGATGCTTTGACCTCATTTGCAATTTGAATAACTGTTTGCAAGTGTTATTCATGGATTTGCACCTTAAAATTAATATATATATATACTTATAATTGAAAAGAGATCTTGATGACATTGTGGAGCATAGCTTTATATGAAAATAATTTTGTAAACAATGCCTACATTGTATGATTTCAGACAGGCATTTCAGCAAACATTTATTGTTCCTGTATAGTAATGTGCCTGCCACTGGTATGGGTGTGTCAGTCAATGTTCTACCAGAAAAATAGAACTGTATTAAGAAATTTATTGCAAGGAATTGGCTTACATAGTTAAGGACAGTGGCTAGGCAAGTCTGAAATTCATAGGGTAGGCCATCAGGAAGGGCAGGCTGGAAACACTCCAGTCAGGAACTGGCACAGCAGTCCATAGGTTGATTTCTTCCTTTTCAGGGAAATCTCAGTCCTGCTCTTAAGGCCTTTCAACTGATAGGATCAGGCCCACCCAGATTTGGAGAATAATATCCTTTACTTAAAATCAACTGATGATAGGTGTTAGTCAAAGCTACAAAATACCTCCATTGCAACACCTAGATTAATGTTTGATTGAATAACTGGGGACTATAGCCTAGCCACATTGACGCATAAAGCTATCAGACCTGACAATTTAAAATGTGTAAAGAAAAACAACACATAATTGTTGTCAGCTTATAATTTAGTTGGGGTGATAATCACCTTCGTCATGACAAAATGCCATTTCAAGGTCCTTTATTATTTCTGTGGGAGTGGTATGATAAAGAACATTGAAATTGGAGTCAGAGTTCTGGGTTTGAGACCTGTGTCTTCCTTTAATGGGTCAGGAACCTTGGAGAAGACATTCATGTGAGCCTCAGTTTCTTGACCTGAAAAATGAAAGTGGCTGCTTGTCCTTCAGAGGGTTGTTAGGAGCTGGGTAGTTTTCTGAGTGATGGTGGTGTTATCTTCATCAACAAGGTTATTCCAGAGCCCAGGAAGTAGCCCAGACACAAAATATTAGGTAAAATCATTTACTGAGGGGCCACTGTGTGCTTAGTGTCTTTTTAGGTGCTGCAAATGGATATAAAGGAAACTCACAAAATCTGATTTTGGGTAATACCTCAATATTTTAGTTACATTGTTAGATGCTGCTAATAATTTCATGTTTGGTAATAGACATTGCCTTCCTAGCTAAGCAAAGTTATGTTCCATGATATATGCACATATTTACTTCTTGCTTTTTGAAATTCAGACTGTCCAGGGGAGCTCTTGATTTCTGGTTATGATTGATGAGTGGAACAATTTAGGCAACCCATGTCTGAGTTGGGGAGATTCATTATATCTGTTGAATTTGGATTTACAAAGGACTGGGATGTAAAATCTACTCTAAATTTTAAAATAATTTTATCTTTGATTCTATAGAAGGTAATTTTAAAACCATTGGTTATTTTCCTGTTAAAGAAATAGAATTTGATAAAAACAGGGTGCTTCTTTTATATTTGATTTGCCTTTTGGGGGGGAAGCATTAAAGTTAGTATTTTCTTTCTATTTGTCTTAGAGTCTGCACGACTTGACAGCAATAAATGTAAATGGAAGGTTCAGCGTGTCTGTTTTGCCATGACATGTAAAGACCACCTTGGGACTTACATCATTAGCATGACTTTGAGACGTGAAACATATATTTACTGACCACACCATTTGGTCACATTTGATTCTACTGCAATTAGATCCTGCTCAGTTCTGTAAGCTGGCCAATTTTAATTTCCTGGCCAGAGCCGGCTATTGTTACCTTAGTAAGACTATATTTACCCTTTCTGTCTAATGCACACTTTATTACTATGCAGAGAATCAATTTATTCAAATTGAAGACTAGTAGAAATTGCAGTGTTTTACTTACTAGTGTTCTTTCCTTTCAGTCTAGTTTAATTGACCTCAAGGAACATGCATCTTCATTAGCCTCAGCAGGACTGAAAAGGGACTCCAAATTAAAATCTCTAGAAATAGCCATTGAACAAAAGAAAGAAGAATGTAGCAAATTGGAAGCACAGTTAAAAAAGGTAAGTGAAGTCCAAGAAAAAAATTCTCATTTTACAATGAATTTATAAAGTGGAAAAGGAAGAGATATTTTGCAAAGAAACAAACGCTTTATCTTTTGCTGTCTGCTGATAAGAGAATTAGACACTCTTAACTTATGAAGTCTGCATCAAATTGGCCAGTGAACCTGAAAAAATATCTTAGGTTTCCTGTCTGAAACAAAACTTGAAAAATAGATGAAAATAGTAGTGGAAGTAAAAAAATATTTAAAAAAATAAGCTGCTGCTCCCTGGGTAAATCTCAACTATAAAAAAATTAGTGAAAATGTTTATAACAAATCAAAGAATCTGGGGGCACCCTTTTATGTTGATAAACTTATACTACCTTCAGAAGTAGGTCAATTTTTGTATGGGGAACTTTGTAAAAGTTTACCTGACAATATTAAATTTCTAGGAGTCCATCCAAATAGTCAAAGTCCCTAGAATATCTGTGGGATGACTATTGGTACTTAACCAAAAATGACTTTCATATCTTAGAAAGCTTGTTGAATGTAGAAGGCTTTGGAAAAGAAAACAGGATCTTTATATTGCAGCATTAACATGTTTTCTCTGAACTGGACATTTTTGTGGAGTATATTTCCAGTCATGCATCATTCCTTTGACTTTTTCCCTGTGTTGTTTGGTACGTCTGCACTCATTGTTCACATAAAACTCATAACTTTATGAGTTTAAGCATTTTGTTTCCCTTTGACAACTTATAAACTTAATTCAAGAGAGGTGATAAGAATCTAAATAATCAAGCAAAGCATATAATAAAATTTGACTATGTATAATTTATTGCACACTGGAATGGGGATTTATTTGCTAAAGTTATGAAAATATATGATGTGGATGATAGGGATGTTAAAGCATCATATATCTGTGGAGAAATTTCTCTGAATATTTAAAAATTGAATATACTATTTTGTATGAGGCAATATATAACCGAAATGTGATTATACTCTGTTCATGGAATTCTAGGAAACTATCCTGAGAAATTTCACACTAGTAAAGTCTCCTTACTGAAAAAGATAGAGATTAAATCCCTCTACAGCAAACCAGCAAGAAAATCTCTGTATTGTAGAATCTACTTTCCAATCCACTCAGCGTCTCACTTTTTTCCAGCGATATCTAGTTAAGCAGAAATCTCGAACAATAAATAGAAGAACTTAAATGGCCCATTTGAGGGTGCTTAAGTGGCAATTGACTTGGCTATTTATGTATTGGGTGTATGATAATACATTCTTGATACATATATGAATGTGTTCTGTAATATGTTATACATATCAAGAAATGAACTTAGGAAACGTACTTTTAATTTAATGAGCAGTTTTGTGATCACAAGGCAACTCTAAGATAACTGTGTAAGAACTTCATTGACTCACTTTGCATTAGCTTACATCAATTGCATTGTGCTGAGTCCTGAAGAAGGACCTCAAATCGACCTGCCCATGAAAGATACCTTCATCAACTCTGCATAGCCATTGTGGAGCTGAGGACACAACATATATTATTTCTGCAGATACATACTCGACATACTCCCTTTTAGTGTAAGTCACCTATGGAATTTGAAACCCTCTAGTAATTAAAAGGAGGAGTTTCCCATATTGACACAGTTTCCATGTATATAACTTGACTAGTTTAATAACTGAATGTCTATGCATTTCAATTTAGTTTCTTTCAATGTAGCTCTGATTTGCCCAAAGAATCACTCAGAGCATGTGGTTTCCTTAAACTCTCAGGTAGACATTCTGTGCTGAAATTCACAGAGCAAATCCTGTAAACATTTTAGCATTATTCTTGACAATATTTTAACATTCTGCAACATCACCAGGATTAAAGTAACAAATATGGTTGTCTTGCTGTAAGGACCTATTTAATTTATGAAAAGATAACTTATTTCTAAGTATATAAATAATGTTTGCTTATACTATCTCCTAAATGCATAGTACAGTGAAATTAAATAAGGTAATTATAATTTAAATATTTTCATACCTAACCTGCAGATGCTATTTTGTTATTTTTGGTTCTCTAGCATCGACTAAATTCAAAAGTTTAAAATACTTTTTCTAGTAGTCTTTAATTTCTGGTAATAAATAGTTCCGTAAAAACCTCAAGTACCCATCACCTTAAAAAGAATTGAGATCTACATGAAATATTTGAAAATATAAGCCAACAGTATGTGAATATACATATAAACACATCATTTACTCATGGAAAAATAAGCAGCTATAAAAGCTTAGGAGTGTCTGGGCCCCCTTTTAAATAAAAGGGTATGTGACTTGTGAATAAAATATTAAGGGTTACTAAATGAAAGCTGAAAACATAATAGTTTTATTATGTCATAAATAAACCATGAATTCCCAATGGAATTTTGCTCAAGATTTGTGAGCGTCCATGTATTTTTACCATAAAATATACACATCCTAGATGTGTTTAGCTGAACAGAAACCTTGTTTGCCAGTGACAATGGGATCCAAATTGTGATTTAAATTTATTTTTGTCTTATGAACAATTCTTGACATCGGTAAGGTGAGTTTTTACATAAAAGTTTGTGGAGAACATTCACATGCCTAGTTACTTTTAACCCTTTATCGCACTGTTAATTTAAGTCTCCAAATACTTCATGATGAAAAATGGTTATAGGCAGAAAAGGAACTGTTCCTTATACATTGCATCCCACATCTTAAAAACAATGCCATCAAATATTCATGTGTGAGGAAAGTTTTCCTGTTATTAATGAGGTTGATAAAATGATAGTAAGCACAATGCACAACAACGAGTTATGAGTGTGCTTTACAAATTAACTGCATTCATTAATCTTAAGTAGACACCCATGGGTTGAGAAGAACCTCATTAGTGATATGTGGATAATTTTGTCTTTCAGAAGAGTATGTGGTGTTCAATATGTCAAAATAATTTTACCTTATCTAACTAGAAATCAGTTGAGAGGCAACAAATCAAAATGTTATGATTTGGTAGTTTTCCAATTAATACCATCTTTGAGGAGAGTGGGTTTTTTTTTAAGCATGGTAAAATTATCATTTACTTCATCAAAGTTGAACAAATGAAAAATTCAGGCTCTTTAAAGGAACATGTCTTAGCTTCAAGCAAAGTGAAAGTTCCTACAGTATTTCACCTTCTATAACTTGACGTTGAGCCCCAAAGAAATAGAACCCGAGAGTGATATTTAAGATAATACTCAGTACATTTAAATCCACAAAAATTTAAAACTTCTACACAAAATAGACTGGAGAGCTTTAAAAATTCTGATGCACTTGGAACATTATAGAATAGTCACTAAAAATTACATTTTTATTAATTATGAACTAACAGTAGAAGCTGGTAATGGGCAATGGATAATACTGTATTTTGGTTCCCTTTATTCTTCCTGATGACTTAATTTTTTTCTTCTCCCATTTACTGTTAATCCTGTAATGTTTTGCTTACTGATATTTTGCTATTGCTAACCTGCTGTTTGCTGATCTATATTTTCCTAAAATTAGACTGAATAGAAACTTCAGGCTTGTGTTAATATAAAAGAAGAGCTATAAATTCAATGATAAGATTTAATTAATCTTTTATTATTACCATCTTTGAAGTTCAGGTAATAAATTGCAGGCTTGGCCAAAAGTACTTCTTCTGATTCATTGCTAGAGGCCAGCACTTCATGTATCATCAAAAGTGGACAGCTTTCTTTATTTCATGGGTTATTTAACTTGAGAAAGGGAAAGTAACACAAACCTTAAATTTCTTATTCCAGCTATTCTTTTTTAGGAGCCAAAGTCAACATTTCTATTTCCCTAGAGCCTCTCACTTTCACTGTGGAATGTTTAGAAACTGAAATTTCTTCTTTTTGAACAACCAGTTCGTTTGTGCAAATGCACTGGATTTGTTGAGCTAATGCTGTTTTTCTGGATCTTTCCTTCTTTCCCTGTCTGTGCTTCAATGCCTCCCCAACTTTGCAATGTAGCAAGCTGAGCAGTTGTTCAATCAGATGTACAATCCAGTAAGTCATTTCTGAAAGTTCCCGCTGTAACATATCAAAGCATGAGGATCCATTGATCACATGTCACGGTGTGCCATACGGGGGAGGTTTCAAAAATATATATGAGTCTCTTCCCATTTCCGTTCTGTCAGAAGAAATGACCTGTGCAAAGGCCACTGCCATTTCTTTTGAATGTGAAATTTAAAAATTAAGAACTTAAGAAAACATTGCCAGCTCTGATATTACCTCCATCTTAACTTCAACTTTAAGGCTATAGAGAAGCGGAGGTCAGCTGCATATCTAGGCTCATGGAACTCTTTCTTAGTTCCTTCTAACTCAGAGTTACCTATATGAAAAGGGATAGCATTTGTAAAATAGCAAGCAAGTCGATGTAAATTACATTCAAATGATAAAAGTTAAAATAAGGTTAGATTTAAAAATAGGGCTATGCTCTCTGAGATTGGTAAATGCCTAACATTATTGTGGGTTTTGTAAGAGTTAAAAACATGTCATTTGGCTGAGGACGAACTAAAATATAGCCTCCTAATAACAGATAGTAACAATTCTGATTATAGCTTAATGGTACACAAAACAGGTAACTAGTAAAAATATATGTAAAACGGCTGGCCCAGATGCCACCACTGATTTTTTTATCCTAATGACAGGTGTGCATTTATATGAAGCGGTTTATTTGTTTCTTTAAGTTATTAAAGAAGAAAGACCTTTTTGTTTTGTCAACTCAACTGGCTTAACTGGGTGAAATATTACCTAAAGGTGACCAGAATTTATCATTTGGCAGATGTGATCTGTGCTATCATGCATTCTAATTACCTCCTATTTATGAATTCCCATCATGGCAAAATGGAATAGCATACATAAAGGAAACAATTCAGCCCAAAACTTTTTGTTAAGCTGCTATTCCAGAATACATACATACAGCATGATACACAAGATGCTTGGGTGTATTTAATTAGATTCAACCTCCACCCTCCATTCTTTAAAACAAGTTTTATTTTTGCAAACAATTTCTCAATTTCCGTTGGTGCATCTTTATTAACCTCTTTCCCCAAATATGATTTTTAGCAGAGCAGGAAAAATAATTCAAATTTCCTATCCCTTAACATTTGATTGGGAGTGTTATTTATTATTATTTAGGGTTTTTTTGGGGTGGGGAGGCAGAGGGAGAGAGAGAATCCTAAGCAGGCTCCACGGCCAGCACATGAGCTGGACAAAGGGCCTGATCTCACAACCCCAAGATCATGACCTGAGCTGAAATCAAGAGTCAAATGCTTAACCCACTGAGCCACCCAGGCGCCCCCTTGAATGGGAGTGTTAATAAGCAGGCTCTACACAATGGGTAGGTGAAGAAAGACAAGATTGGAATACCTTTAAGCTTGAAAATTGACCCTGGGAAAAATGACTATTTTCTTTAGATCATTTTTAAAAGATGTAAAATGATCCCAGTGAAATTGTTTCACATTTACTAGTTGGGGACAGGAAGAAAACCTAAGTATATCACATTTTGGGTATGTGCAGGACAACTGGGGAGGGCTTTTTTCCTGTAGCAGCAAGGAGTTATCAGAATCACGATAGGATTTCAGCATCCCTGTCTGAATAGGTAGGACCAAAGAAATAGCTCTGTTAACTTTAAGACCATTTCCAGAAATATTGATGATATGGCACTTACTGGACTTTTCAACCACAGTGGTGGGTCTCCAGGAAGCAAAAACAAACTTTTTTCCTTGAATTAATTAAGCTAACCCATTGGTTTGGCATCCTGGGAGTATAGCCAGCCTCTCATTATTTTAACTCTCCCTGTCTGCAGATATTCTCAGGGTCCAGTTCTTTTTTGGACTGATAGGGATGCAGTATGATGGATTTTCTTTCCTTAATAGTCTTTAAAAAAATAATCATGTTATTCTGATTATAAAAATAACATATGGTCACAGTGGAGAATTTGCAAAAATATGGAAGTATAGGACAAAATAAAATGACAAGATGTCTCCTGGCACAAGGATAATCACAAGGAGCATTTGGGGGGTTCCCTACCCAGACATCTTTTTTGTTATTCTTATCCTCTCCTTCCTCCCTTTCTCTCTCTTTCCTTTCTCCCCCTTTCTTCCCTTTTTTCTTCCCTCTCTTTCCTTTCTTCTCTTCTTTTTCTCATTTAATACTCTTATTTTCCTTTCACCAAATTGTGTCAGTGTTTATTGAATTGTATATTCTATTTTTATAACATATCATCAGCATTTTCTCCAATAACTAACTATTCTTCCAAAACACTATCTTATTGATTATGTGATATTTCACTGTATTTACTCATTCCCCAAATGTTGCTCATCTCCCCCCACCCTTTTTTTTGCCAGTATATAATGCTCTGAAAAACATCTTCCCATATTAATCTCCTCACATTTCTATGTTTGTCATGGAATAAATACCTGGCCAGTGATTTTTCAAAGCTCCCAATAGTTCTTATTGTGTTGCATTTTAGAGAAGTTCTGCCATGACACTTTTCTTTCAGCACTGGATAAAGGCAGCCTTTCTGCCACACCCTGACCAACACCGAGAAGTGTCCTTTTTCATAACTTGGACAAATGCATAGGTGGATTTTTTTTTTGGTCATTTTAACTTTATTTTCTTTAATCACTAGAATGGTTGAGGTTTTTAAAACATTTATTAGCTGTTTGTATTTTTCTTCTGTGAATTGTTTCTTTTGGTCATGTAAGCACTTGTTTTTGAGTTTACCGTTTTGTTCATTGGTTTGTATGAATCATTCTATACATTATATAGAAACTTTGTCAGATTTGTGGCAATATTTCATTTCATTTAAATTTTTTAAAAAGATTTTTTATTGGGGCGCCTGGGTGGCTCAGCCGGTTAAGCGTCTGCTTTCGGCTCAGGTCATGATCCCAGGGTCCTGGGATTGAGCCCCGCATCGGGCTCCCTGCTCCGCAGGAAGCCTACTTCTCCCTTTCCCACTCCCCCTGCTCGTGTTCCCTCTCTCGCTGTGTCTCTCTCTGTCAAATAAATAAATAAAATCTTTAAAAAAAAAAAGATTTTTTATTTATTTGAGAGACAGAGCGAGAGAGCAAACACGGGAGAGGGGAGGGTCAGAGAGAGAAGGAGAAGCAGGAAGCCAGATTCAGGGCTCAGTCCCAGGACCCTGGGATCATGACCTGAGCGCCAAAGGCAGATGCTTAACTGACTGAGCCACCCAGTCACCCCTCATTTAAAATTTTTTAATAAAGAAAACTGTAACTATTTTTAGGTTTCTTGACCTGTGTTTCCCTTTAGAATTTTCTCATTTTCTTTAGGCTTAGAAGTCATTCTCTGATTTCAAGAATAGGCACTCACATTTAAAACTTTTTAATGTTCCTTTTACATCAGTTTAACCCCTTTATCTGTCTTTAGTATATTTTGATTCATGTTGAGAGGTGAAGTTTTAACATTATATATTTTTAAATGATCAACTAATTATCCCAGCACCATTTATCAAATAATTCTTTAACCACTGTTCTTCATACTATTTCAATGTATACTAAGTTCTCATCTAGATGAATGTCTTAATTTCTGAGCTGTTCAGTTTTATCAATGTCTGTTGCTTTTTGGGACAGAATTTTAATTATTGTGGCTTTATAATATTTTTAAGTATCTAGTGAAACAAATTCCACCCTAATTTTTTCTGCTTTTCATTTCATTTTGTTTTTGTGTGCTTAGCCTTTAATTCTCTATCATTCCAAGTAAACTTCAGGCTCACCTTGTGAACTAAAAAGCACAACTGTTGGTGATTTGAATTTGAATTATACTCAACCTATAAAATAATTTTAGAATGATATCTTTCCAATATAATTTCTTCTAATTCATGAACTTGATACAACTTTTATTTATTACATAGATCTTTTACAGTAAAGGTTTGACATTTTCCTATTATAGTCCTGTGATATTTCAAGGATAGTTCTAAGTATTACTATATATATATGTATACATATATATATATCATTATTATATATAGTATATAGTATCTATATATATAATTAATAATATATATATCATTACTATATATCTATATCTAGATAGCTATATCTATATATAGATAGGTATATCTATCTATATATATAATTTTTAAGTTACTAAAATTTATGTGAACTTAATTTTTGGTGAATGCTCTATTTCTCCTTTTATTTTCTAGCCAGTTATTGGTACCTAGGAAATTTGTTTTATTATTGTATGTTTATTTTGAATAAGGCCACCCTATCAATTTTGGTGAATTATAACTTAATTGTTTTTGTTAAATAAGATCATTTTACAGTCAGATCTATGTCCATTTATCTAAACTAAATCAGAGTAAATAGAGATTCAGCTTTGAAGTTTTCCTGGGAACATTTTTTTCCTGGAGTAGAAATAAACCTACTTTTGAAACTCTTTTACTTTTACTTTAGTCACCCAGGTACTAAGTGATGCTGTAATTCCATTTCTTAGGAATCTAAAATTTTGTCTTTGTATCCTTATTATTTCTTATAATAATAACCTTTCTGCAGCTTAACTGGTAGTCTCTACTCCTGGAGGAGTTTTGTCTTGTCATTATAAACACTATGCAGATTATCTTCAGTTGAATTCTTTTTCTTCCCTTGGTTCTTAATTCCAGACAAATAATATGGTTTATTCATCAGTCTCAAATACCTTCTTTGCTGTAGCCCTAGTAGTTATTATGCCCAGAGGTGGTATCCAGAGGTCTCTTATGAATTTTTAATAAAATTTTAGAGCTTCTGCCTCCTAAATTTAGTGCATTGAATAATATCCTTGTTGCTGCAAGGCAAATGACTGATTTGGAGGCACCGAGGACAACTTTATGACTGGCCAGGGTACACTTGAGACCACTCTGATGTACTTCCACACATGTGAATTTCCCCCCTTGCCTGGTCACTGTCCATTGAAATCCTATCTTTTCTCCAAATGCATCTTTTGCAGGGCTCACATTTTATGTAACAGTTTATAAGAAAAAGACCAAGCATTTTTCCAGT